TCTCCAGCAAAGTTGAGCCATATATACAGTATCTATGGTTGAGCCAACGTATTACGACGTCATCTTACCATTGCATATGCAAGCTACAGCCCTTTGCACAAAACTTGCACCAGTCTGATCACGTGACTTGATAAAAATCCTATGGCTAATCATCACGTGACTGTAACTGGTGGTGGCAAGTTTTGTGCAAAGGTCTGTAGTCTCGCCGCCCAGACCATTCCCCAGCCTACAGTCATTGGGGTATGACTGTAGGCTGGGGAATGGTCTGGGCGGCGAGACTATATGCAAGCATATTGTGCATGCTTTTTTAGTTACCAAAATAAATTTGCCATATGTACATGCTTACCAGTGATATGGTATTTTCCAAGAATTTTGAAATTTGGCAATACAGCAATACAGGAACGTAACAGAACACAATTACTACATCATACATGGACTGATGCAGTGCAATGTAAATGTACATATCTTCACTGGATAATAGACTCATTATAGTACTAATAACTGATGTTATATATCCTGGTAGAGAGATAAAGGTTGTTGGAGAGGGAATCATTGCTTGCATTAGGCTCACCCCTTTAAAAACAACTCATAACACAAGCACTAAGTTTATTAACTACTAGATAGTGTTGTTAGGTTATGTAGCCTGGGGATTTTCTCCAAAATATGACTTTGAAATCACCCCAAATTGTTATCACATTTTCTTTACACATTGATGTCCTTATGCTATGTAGAAAGTTGAGCTAATTAAGACTCCAATTTTTAAGTCATGGCCCTTTTAAAAAAATACCAAAAATTTTGAAGAATATGAAGGCTATAGCTTGGCTATTTTAAAAAAATGACTCCAAAGTTACCTCAAATTTTTCTTACACTTTTTGAAATACAATGATGTCCTCAACATCAGAGTATAAGGAATGAAGTGTGCATTGGAGTCTGATTATGTCAGACAACTGGAACACTGGCAGGAAAAATACAACAGACTTTGACTTTAAATGCTCATCATTGACAAATACTGCCTTGAGATTGTTAGCAACAGCTTGAGAAACTGGGTTGATTCTATCATCAACGTATGTGAGAGCTAATAATTATGAGAAAATCTTGAAGATTGGCTTAGAATCAATAAAGACAACATTTATATCTTCTGGATAATACTCATATCATAGAAATATCTCAAAGCTTGTTTAGTATCTTCCTCATATATCCCGAATCTTTCTCAAATAGATAAAGGTTCCTTAACTGATACAATACTCTGCTTATTGGGCAAAGACAGCTCAAACACAAACCATCAAATGGTATTTTAATGTCAAGCAAAGCATCAGAGCCATGAAACCATAATTGGCTTGCAAATGATCTATTCACTGTATTTAGCTCTTTCTTCTGATGCATGCAGCAATCATGTTGACAGGAAATGTGATAAAATTATCAGATTGATGAATAACACAATTTTGCAAATAAGATTCTAACAAAGACATTGAAGACTTTAGAATTTCTTCCTTTTCTGCATTGCTCACCTTGTCATAATGCATTCCTATGGTTTGCATGCTTGCATTGATTTAAAAGTGAAAGTCTGTCTCACATTTCTTAGAAAGGATTTTAGTGCAGTGCTCTATTATTTTTGTGGTTGGTCCAAAGTTTGACAAAAGCACCCTGTATTTTTATTAGATAGCACAGCTAATTAAGATATTTTACTGGGAGAAAATTCTTATTTTCCTACTTCATGTACACAACAATATTGGTGTAATAAAATATACCAAAAATTAACATCATTTGGTATGATGTCTTCGCTAAAAAAATGATTTCAAAATAATCTCTAATCCTATTTATAACCATATTTTTGATGATGATGACATAATAATTATTGATTATTATCTGATTTCACTCAATCATGAATTATTA